AAGGCGTTGACTGTGATAGTTGGAGATGTGTGTCAACTTGGCTGAACCACAATTCTGTGTGGTTTAAGCAATTATGATGTGGGTTGTTACAATGATGGGACCAGATGTATATATTTTGAGCACCCAATCCTTGGAAAGGGAGTTTCCTTAGGGGTGTGGCCTGCTTCCAGTATATTTATGGACATCCTGGGAAAAGAGACACTCTTCTGTGGATCAAGATTCTGTTGTGCTGCCTACAACAGTCCATGAGCGAACAATCCACCATTCAGCCTTGGAGATCTTGGATTCGTCATTCGTTGGAGTCAGCAGCTAGTATACTGCCTGCCAACCCTGAACTCGTCTGCCCTTGCAGCTGTGTGAGTTGGAAAAGCCTCCAGATTGACGTTTGACCCAAGAACTTGGGACTTTCGAGTTTCTGTAAGTGTGTGAGCCATTTTCCTAAGATAAATTTCTCTTTCTCTCTTTGTATACATAAGCTTTACTGGTTTTGCTTCTCTAGAGAACCCAGTCTAACACAATCCATCTGACATCAGCAATGATATCCCTTGTACCATGCATGACCTTTTCTGAATCCAACTTGCCTTTCTGGAAGTTCTCTGTCAATATACTGCTGCAACCATTTTTGAATTATCTTCAGTAAGATTTTACTTGCATGCCATATTAATGATATTGTTTGATAAGTTTCACATTCTGTGGGATCACCTTTCTTTGGAATGGGTACAAATACTTATCTCTTCCAGTCAGTTGCAGGTAGCTCTCTTCCAAATCTCTTGGCAAGACGAGTAAGTGCCTCCAGTGTAGCATCCATTTGTTGAAACATCTCAGTGGTTATTCCATCAATTCCTGGAGCCTTGTTCTTCACCACTTCCTTCAGTGAAGCTTCAATTTTTTTCCTTCAGTATCATTGGTTCTTGATCATATGCCACCTCCTGAAATGGATGAACATCGAACAATTCTTTTTAGTACAGTGACTCTGTGTATTCCTTCCATCTTCTTTTGATGTTTCCTGCATCACTCAATATTTTTGCCATAGAATATTTGAGTATTGCAACTTGAGGATTAATTTTTTTCCCTCAGTTCTTTCAGCTTGAGAAATGTGGAAAGTATTCTTCCCTTTTGTTTTTCTAACTCCAGGTCTTTGTACGTTTCATTATAGTAGTTGGGTTTGTCTTCTTGAGCTGCTCTTTGAAATCTTCTGTTCAGCTCTTTTATCTTGTCATTTCTTCCATTTGCATTAGCTACTCTCCACTCAAGGGCAACTTTCAGAGTCTCCTCTGACATCCATTTTGGTCTTTTCTTCCTTTCTTGTATTTTAATGACCTTTTGCTTTCTTCATGGATGATGTTCTTGATGTCATCCCACAATTCCTCTGGGTTTCGGCCATTGGTGTTCCGTGCATCCTGTCTGTGCTTTAAATGGTCTCTAATTTCAGGATGGATATAATCAAGGTCATATTTTAGCTTTTGTGGACTTCTTTTAATTGTCTTCAGCTTCAAGTTGAACTTGCATATGAGTAGTTGATGGTCTGTTCTACAATCAACTCCTAGGCTTGTTTTGGCTAAAGATATTAAGCTTCTCCACCACCTCTTGCCACAGATGTAGTCAATCTGATTCCTGTGTATTCCATCTGGTGAAGTCCATGTGTATAGTCATGACTTATGTTGTTGAAAAAAGATATTTGCAGTGAATGAGTCGTTGGTCTTGAAAAATTCTATCATGTGATCTCCAGTGTGATTTCTATCAGCAAGGACAAAATACCAGTGATTCTTCTTTGTTTCCAACTTTTGAATTCCAATCACCAGTGATAACACATCTTTATTCCATGTTTGGTCAATTTCAGACTGCAGAAGTTGGCAGAAATCTTCAATTTCTTCATCTTTAGCTTTGGTGGTTGGTGCATAACTTTGAATAATAGTAGTATTAACTGGTCTTCCTTGTAGGTGTATGGCTATTATCCCATCACTGACAGCATTGTACTTCAGGACAGATCTTGAAACAGTCTTTGTGACAATGAATGCCACACCATTCCTCTTCAATTTGTCATTTCCAGCATAGGAGATCATACGATTGACTGAAAAGGCCAAAACCCACCCATTTCAGCTGACTAATTCCTAGGATATCCATCTTTATGCATTCCATTTCATTTTTGACAACAACTTCCAATTTTCCTAGATTCATACTTTTTACATTCCCTGTTCCAATTATTAATGGATGTTTGCATATGTTTGTACTCATTTTGAATTGTGCCACATCAGCCAATGGATATCCTGAAAGCTTTACTCTATCCATAAGGTCATCTCTATCCTGAGGGGTCAGCTCTTACCCAGTCAAATTTTTAGGGCCTTTTGACCTGATGGGCTCTTTTCCCGGCACTATATCAGACAATGTTTCAGGGCTATTTATAAAGTTTTCCAATAATATATCAGACATTGTTTCACTGCTATTCATAAGGTTTTCACTGGCCAACTGTTTGAGAAGTGGATGGCCTCTTCATTCTTCCAAGTCTGTCTTAGCCCAGAAGCTCTGCTGAAACCTGTCCACCATGGGTAACCCTGCTGGCATTTTGCAACACCAGTGGCATAGCCTCCAGCCTCAGAGCAAAAAGTAAGCCACCACAGGATGCCAAACTGACAGACAAGTTCGTCTTCCTTAGTTGTTCCTACCCCTGCTTTGCCTGCTTACCTTGGACCCTGGCATAGAAGGGTTTAATTCTGGTTACTGCACTTCACATGCAGCTACTAGCCATCTATCAGTGGAGGTTTGCATGCCATTATGTTGTTGAACAGATTTCAGTGGATCTTCTAGACTAAGATAGACTAGAAAGAAAGGGCTGGCAATGCACTTCTAAAAATAAGCCAGTGAAAATCCTGAGGATCAGGATGATCTGATTCACAATCGATCATGAGGTTAATGTAGGACTGGGTAGTTTTGTTCTGTTGTGTATGGAGTCACCACAAGTTGGGGTAACTCAATGGCAGCTAACAGCAACAACAACAACATGGTATCATATTTCATCCTTGAAATCATGAAGGAGGCTTCAAGTGGTCTTTTTTCTTTTTGGATGTGTTTGAAGCTCTCCTCTGCTAAGTCTCCTTTTTGCTTTTCTCCTGCCAAGTTCACTTGATTGTTTTAAGATGCCCTTTTTTCCATGTTGTAGTTCAGGCCATCCTGAAATAGAAATTAATTTTATCTTAACTCCACATTTCCTAGAAGTAAAGTTTAATTGGTGCAGCTTGGAACAAGCACTCACCCCTGGTCTAATCTACCATAGCTGTGTGAAGTGTACAGCCACCTTTGCCTGCCAGAACCCACATCCTTAACCAGTTGATGTGTGGATTTTTTCCAGATCAAGTGGGTCCCCACCCAGTATGTTGTAATGCCAGGATACAGAGCACAGAAGGTTTTGGTGAAAGAGAAAGTAGTTTTATTATTAAGTACAGGATAAGGAGTCAAGAGGGCATTCCTCAGATCTGACTACCTGAGCAGGAGTTAGATTACAGCATTTATGGGGTTCAGAAAGGGGAAGTTTTACATATTCATATGAGTTCCAGGAATTTGAGCATGAACTGGTTGGGGACTGGCTGAAGTTTTTTTCACGTTGGTTTAAAGAGACAATCAATTTTTAATGCAGTATGCTTGTGCAGAGGATGGATTATACTGACTTCCTGCATCAGCTGGTTGGGGGTCTTAGGCAAATGGGGGACGTTGGTTCAGAGCAACATTGTTTGATTATCCCAGTGTGTATGTCTTTGGGTCAAAATGGGCCTGAGTCAGTTGCCACTCTGGCCTTGGTTTGCTGGAACATCTGGTATTTCTGTGCAAGATAAACTAATAAAGCACTTAAACAAAAGGGGCATGGGGTGGCGGTGGAAGAGACTAGATAGAAAACAGAAACTTGCTGTGGCGATTAATATGTTTGCCTTAGTTTGGCTAGATGAAAAACAGACCTCGCTTCAGATTGAGTCATTTGTTTATCTTTTTCCTGGCTTGGACAGTTTTCAGTACCTGGTGCACCCTGTGTAAGCTTCTATCATCACTTAAATGATGTATCACTTAAATGATGTATTTGCCTTGCTCATTTATCTTTTTCTCCTTTGTCTTTTTCCTCTTTTCTCACTCTTCATTTTGCTAATTCTTATTCTTCCAGCGCTATCACAGTTTTATTTGATCAGAGTAAAGAAGTTGGTAGAGGTGTAGAGGTGTGGAGTTAGTGAGTCAGTGTCAATAAAATCATGTCCTGTGAGCAGCTACGTATTCTATTTATGAAAAGTGCCCACTTTGACCACAACGCTAGGTAATGTGGCAGGTGTCAAATGCTATATAAAACATTAAAAATTAAAAAACCCTTGTAGTTCTGTCAACCAACATAATATGACCCAAAACAATATAGCTCTTAAAAACTCCAAAATTATGGACTATAAAGGCGCTTTTGGTTCCTAATCACACTCATAGCAAAGCCGTCACTATCATGAACCTCTAAAGAACGTTTAGAAAATGTTTAGTAAATGTTCTGAGAAGTACCAAGCAATACTACTGATGCAAGAAATTACAAGTAGTTTGGAGCAATTTGTTTACCGGAACTTTTCTAGCCTGCTTGGTGGTGGTGGTGGGGGAAATGTGAGGACACGGAAAGGGGAACTTTTAAGCCGTTGCACCTAAAAGCACTGAAGGGGTGGGAAGAAGAAAGGCATTGTGGGGGTTGGCCAGCAGTTTCGGCGGGTTCTGTTAAAATGGCGTCGTTGCCACCAGTGGTGTCTATTTCTTAGCCTGTCAGGGAAGGCCACTGAGATCCAGAGCGCTGGGCGCAGAAAGGGGGCTGCCGGCTGCGGCCGGTAGGTGGTTTTCTGCGCGCAATAGCGGCGGGGTCACGGCGGAGTCCGGCAGTGCGCTCTGGCTTGAAGACAGGGTGCAGCAAGCGGGTCAGTAGTGGGGGCTGGCCACCTAGGCTACCCTCCCCCCCCTTATTCCCCGGCAACTTCCATTTCCAGTGCTGAGGTGAGGATGGCGGCCCCGGACCAGAAATCGCCAAACGTTCTTCTGCAGAACCTATGCTGCCGGATTCTGGGCAAGAGCGAAGGTAACGGCACCCGGACAACAGGCGCGCGCGCCGCGGGGTGGGGTGTGGCGAGGCGGGGGGTGGTTTGCGACTCCACCGATGTGTCCAGGAGGGCGCTTCCTGAGACGTTTTCAGGAGGTTGGGGGTGGAGGTGGGGTGAGAAGATGCGGGATCAGGGCTGGGGCTGAGGGCTAGGTTGTTTTCCCATCTACTCAGACCATCTGTAGTGGAATCGCAAAGAGGTGCTGCCGGCCTGCCAGGTGCTGCAGCCACCGCCAAGGCGGTGGGAAGCCGCACGGTTGACTAGGAGCGGGAAAGGGAGAAGAGTGCTGGGGTGTAACGACTCTGAGGGCCTCTGGAGCGGGCTGAGTCACAGCTCTTCTCGGAGGATGACTGTCAGATTGCATATTTATCCTCCGACTCTAATGTCACATAAGGAGTGGGGGCGCTTTTGAGTTTATCTGGGTTTATATTGAATGGTGTGGGAAGAAGGCGTGGAACTGGTACCCAGTTACCCGTACTTGACTGCACTTCAAGAGTGACGTTTGCTTCTCTTGGATCAAAATGCCACAGAGGGAGAGGGGGAGGGGGAGAGAGATGGAGGTGAGCCACATCATTTTCCCTTTTCCTGTATTAAAGTATAACAGATTTGAGTATTACGTGAAGGAGATATTTA